CGGGGACAGCGTGCCGCGCCGGCGGGGCGGGCAGCCGGCTGCGGGTCATCCTCGCCAGGCCCCGCCGTGTGAGGCGGGGTGAGGCTGGGGTACGCGGGTTCTAGCCCGTGGAGGCCACAAGCCGTCGCCAGGCCTGGGCGGGGACGGGGCGTGGAGGGATCGGCGAGCCCCCCAGCACTTCCTGCCCAGCGGCGTTGGCTGGGAGAGGACTGGCTTTCCTTGGGCCTGGCCTAAGCTGATTTTTGTCTCCCCCCTCCCCCTTCCCCTCCTGCCTTCCCCAGCAGATTTCTCCTCATCCCAGCCTTCATTGAGTGACCTCACTTGGAACCTTTTGACCCCAAGGCTCTGGCATTGGGCCTTAAAGTAAACTGTCAAAAGATTGAGTTTAGCTTTCGGCTATGGCTTTCGTACTTCACCTTCCGTGAATCCCACACGTAAAACTAAAGTGGAGGATTCAGTCCGTGGTCATCAAGGATCTTCCTTCCCAGCGGGTTTTAAAAATGTGATCAGGTTTCATTAGACACAAGAAAACGCGGCCCTCAACTCCCACCCACTTTCCATGGAGTCGGTCTTGTGATGGTCACTGAATCCAGTGAATTTCAGGTGTCATCATTTCTAACTTTCAGCTGCATTCCAGGGCGTTGACATTTTTCCTTTTCTTTCTTTTTCTTTTCTTTTTTTTTTTTTTTTCTGTCCTGAGGTTTGAATTCAGGGCCTGGGCTCTGTCCCTGAGCTGCTTTTACTCAAGGCTAGTAGTGCTTTACCTCTTGAGTGTGGCTCAAGTGTCACTTCCAACTTTTTCTGGGTAGTTTATTTGAAATGAGCCTTTTCTGCACAGATTGACTTCGAGCCCTCAGATCCCAGCCTCCTGAGTAGTTAGAATTACAGGTGTGAGCCACCAGCACCCGGCTTCACTTTTCCTTTTTAAAGCATTCTCTTGAAGCGTTCTCTTCTTGCTGTTTGGTGTCTGGAATACAAAACTCTTGGTTTTCCTCCCTACTTTTCCTGCTGATCCATCTGTCTCCCACACATGCTGTTCTCCAATGCACGCAGAAGCCCTAGGCTCCATCCTAATCTTTGATTTTCCATGTTGTATTTTCTTTCTTTTTTTTTTGTCCGTCATGGGGCTTGAACTCTGGGCTTGAATGCTGTTCCTCAGCTCTTCAGCTCAAGGCTAGTGCTCTACCACTTGAGCAACAGCGCACTTCCGGTTTTCTGGTGGTTTATTGGAGATAGGAGTCTCATGGTCTTTCCTGCCCTGGCTGGGTTTGAACCATGATCCTCAGATCTCAGCCTCCTGAGTAACTAGGATTACAGGTGTGAGCCACCAGTGCCCAGCTCTATTTTCTCTTATATTCATGACTTGTTACCACTTGTCTTCCAATTACATGAACTTGTGTCTCAGACTTGCTTCTAAGATGCAATCCAAATTTTATATCCCACCTTTTATGTATTTATTTATTTATTTTGCCAGTCCTGGGACTTGAGCTCAGGGCCTGGGCACTGTCCTTGGGCTTCTTTTGCTCAAGTCTAGCACGTGAGCCACAGCGCCACTTTCAGCTTTTTCTGTTTATGTGGTACTGAGAAATCAAACCCAGGGCTTCATGCATGCTAAGCAAGAACTCTACCACTAAGCCACATTCCCAGCCTATCCCACTCTTTAGTTAACATATCTAAGGAGCTTTTTACCACTCTGGTGCCTCAAAGTCACTTCCATTTGTTAAAAAGCAAAACAAAATGCTCTTTCCCTTTAAACTCAAAGTTCCGTAACTGAGTGAAAGGTTGTGTCTGGGAGTCCTCTTGGTAACCCTCTTTTTCCTTACCCCTTCCACTTCTCCCATATCCAATATGTCATCAGCCCCTATGTAGTGGTTACCAGAATAGAAGTTAGGCTATTTGAGTTAGTTCTAGCTTCACCAGCTCTGAATTTGGAGAGAAACTTAAACTAAGATACTTGCAAAAATGGGGTATGGTGATAGTAGTCATCTCACAAGTTTGTCCTGAGAATGAAAGAGAAATGTACACAAAGGATGTTCAACAGTGTTTTGTGTAGTGTTTAATGCATATTAACTATTATTTAGCATTTCGTTTCCTTTTCATTTTGCTCTTCAGTGACTTCTCTTAGCTGCTTTTCATTTCTTATCTGGACTAGTTTCGGCCACTAGCTAAACTTGTATTCCTGCTGCCTGTGTTTGTTCCTCAAACCACAGCAAACAAGATCTTTTAAAAGTGCAAATCTAGGGGCTGGGAAGTTGGCTCAGTGGTAGAGCGCTCACCTTGCATGCTTAAGGCCCTGGGTTCGATTCCTCAGCACCACATAAGCAGAAAATAAAAGAAATGTACTAAAAAATATATATTCTAAAAGTGCAAATCTGACCAAGATTTCCTTCCTCACCCTAGTTCATACACATTTTGGCCAGGGAATAGGAAGCAAAATACTTAGACTCTGACCCAGTGCTTTGTAGGCCGTGTATCAGTTCCTCTTAGTGCCTAGGTCATGCTATCCATTATCTTGGATGCACTGAGCTCACTTTAATCAAAAGGGCTTGCACAAACTGTTTCATAGAAAAGTCCTCAGTGGTGCTGTTGGTCTTCAATGGTTTTAAGTCTTCGCTGCATTATGTATCTCTATTTTCTAGCTTTACCACAGGTACCAGCTTATATATTTTTACCTAATCTTTTTTATGTAGAGCTGTTCTTTGCTCCAGGAAGCTGGTGCTGGTGACTCATGCCTATAATCCTAGCTACTCAGGAGGCTGAAAACTGAAGGATTGAAGCTTGAGCCAGGGCAGAAAAGTATGATTGAATTTCAAGCATTCAGTGTGGTGATGGCATTCATTAAATCTTCATTTAGTATAGACAGATCAGTAAATGAATACCTGAGCTCAACTATCTTGGGGTAATATTTACCACGCAGAGTTGTTTATATGATACATTCATTCTTAAATGATTCTATTAAGGAAACAAGGTAAATGTTGGTCAAGTCTGATTCTTCATAGGATGGAATTTTAGGCCTGACTGTATTGGCAAATGGCAAAATGCAAAAATGAGTGATACAGCTGGGTGTCAGTGGCTCACACTTGTAATCCTAGCTACTCAGGAGAATCTCAGTTCAAAGCGAGCCAGGGCAGGAAACTCCGTGACACTCTTATCTCCAAATAACCCACCAGAAAACTGGAAGTGGTGCTGTGGCTCAAGTGGTAGAGTGTTTGCCTTGAGCTGAAGAGCTGAGGGATAGCGCCCAGCCTAGGGTCCCACAATTGACAAAAAAAAAAAAAAAGATACAACCAAATCACCTTTTTTTTTGGTCATGTTGGGGATTAAGCCCAGGGCCTTAACCATGGTACATAAGTATTCTACTTTTTTACTTGGTTTCTGGTCCTAGAATGTCAAACTTGCACGAACAACTGTGATTATCAGTTGGAGGATAAGACTTTCATGACAAATTGATCTTTGCTAAAACAAAAATCTGAAGTGTATATTAGTTTCACTAATGAATTCTATCTTTGTTCAAAGACAGAATAGAAATTCCAGTTTTCTAGCTTCATTATCTTCTTTCAGAAACAGGAAATAATTAACTGGTATTGAATCTTAGCTTCAGTAAGTTCCCTTTGATTGATTTAATCTCTTGAAAGTGAACTAAAAGGATGGAAATATTTAACTCCTACAGGAGTGTTATTTATTGGATAGTACCTTTTGATGAGTTGTATTTGCAGTTTGTCTAACAGAATATCTATATTTATTATATTGTATAATAACATGTGTATATCATAACTTACATATTTCCAATGTTCTGAATTTAAAGGACAATTAAAATTGATAACTATTTCCTGCTTTAGTGTATGCTGTCTTTTACCCAACACAGGGATAAAGCAAGTGGACTTTTATTTTAAGTCAAAATTGGAAGTTGTAATGATTTGGAATTATGATGAAATGCTTACTTAGAATAGGTCTAAGAGACCAAAGGCTGGGAATGTGTTAGAGGTAGTGTGCTTGCTTAGCATGCATGAAGCCCTGAGTTTGATTCCACAGTACCACATAAACAGAAAAGGCCAGAAGTACTGCTGTGGCTCAAGTGACAGAGCACTAGCCTTGAACAAAAGAAGTCCAAGGACAGTGCCCAGACACTGAGTTCAAGCCCCAGGATGAGGGGGGCGGGGGAAGAACACTAAGTGAAAGGACTTATTTGGAATTTGACTCAATCAAACCAGTGGCCTAAAAAAAAATTAAAACAATGGAGGTATTTGAATACTAGATATTTGAGACTAGAATTGTTAGAGAGAGAGAGGGAGAGAGAGAGAGAGAGAGAGTGTGTGTGTGTGTGTGTGTGTGTGTGTGTGTGTGTGTACCAGTCTTAGGGCTTGAACTCAGGGCCTGGGTACTGTGCCTGAGCTCAAGATTGGTGGTCTACCACTTCAGCCACAGCTCCACTTCTGGGTGGCTAATTGAAGAGAAGAGGCTCACAGACTTTCCAGAGCAGTGCCTGGGCTGGCTTTGAACTTCAGTCCTTAGTTGTTAGCCTCTGAATAAGTAGGATTATACCAGTACCCTGAAAATTGTCAGTTGGTGGGTTAAAATTACTATATTTATGTGTGTGTATGTATAAATAAATATACACTGTCCTTTAAATAATACATACTAAAATATTTTATGGCTTCTGGCTTTGACGTAGATTAGGGGTCATTGTTGATGGATTGGAGGAAATAAACCAATAGTAGTTACTGCTGAGTAATTGATCCATAGGGCTTCATTGTCTGTACTTTTATATGAATATGATGTTTTACATATTAAAAACAGAGAAATGAGTAGTTGTGGAGGATGAATCCCAGCTTCTGGGGTGGCTGAAGCAGGAGGTTCACAAGTTTGAGGCATTATCACAAGACTTTCTAAAAAGAGAGAGAGGATTGACATCCTTGTGACATCCCTCAACAGTATTAAAAGAAGAGTGCTTTTGGAGGTGGAGCTGTTGCTGACGTGGTAGAGCGCTAGCCATGAACACAAAAGCTCAGGGACAGCTTGGGAGCCCAGGGTTCAAGCCCCAGGACTGGCAAGAAAAGAAAATGGAAAGTATTTTTGATCATTTCTGGGAAAGTTCTCATATGTCTTCAGGATTCCTAAACAATTCTTGTAGCTTTTCAATTTGCTCCATTTGATTTTCCGCTTTGTTGTTCTGTGTATTCTTGATACTCATCTTTACTCGTGTGATTTGTTTTGTTTTTGTTTTTTATTGGTTGTGGGGCATGAACTCTGGGGCTGGGCGCTCTTCAGTTCAAGGCTAGTGCTCTACCACTTGAGCCACAACACCACTTCCGGCTTTTTCTGCTTATGTGGTGCCTGAGGAATCAAACCCCGGGCCTCATGCATGCAAGCCAAGCACTCTACCACTGAGCCACCTTCCCAGCCCCAATTTTTTTTTTAAACTTTTACTTTTTTTTTTTGGCCGGTCCTGGGATTTGAACTCTGGGCTTGGGCTCTATTCCTCAGCTCTCAGCTCAAGGCGAGTGCTCTACTGCTTGAGCCACAGAGCCACTTCCAGTTTTCTAGTGGTTTTATTGGACGTAAGAGTCTCCCAGGCTTTCCTGCCTGGGCTGGCTTTGAACCGTGATCCTCAGGCTCCTGAGTAGCTAGGATTACAGGCATGAGCCACCAGTGCCCAGCTACTTTTACTATTTTTATTTATCTCCATAATTGTGAATTCCCCACACAGGAAGGTGATTATTTTCCTGTTCTTCCTGCACAGCGTAAAACTGCTGTGCCTGCATTATCTACTAGCACCTGGCAATCCTCGACTTCTGTTTCCCTCCCTTCTCCAGTTCTGATGAGATAAGTATTTTTATGTGCCTGATTTTTTAAACATTTGCTAGCCAAAGAGAACATTAAAGTATATCTTACAAAGAAGATGAGCAAATCTATATGATTAAAAAGTGTAGATCTAAAGATTAGTATATATATTGAAGTCATGGCATTTTATATGTTTGTCTTTTCTCTTTTGTAGAGTGAGTCTTTGGTGGTTTGCGATGTTGCTGAAGATTTAGTGGAAAAGCTGAGAAAGTTTCGTTTTCGCAAAGAAACAAACAATGCTGCCATTATAAGTAAGCTAAAAGTGATTGCCTCAAAAGTTTCATGATTTTTGTTTGTTTTAATCTTATGGTTACATTGGCTTGCTAGCCTTAAAGAGTAATATCGCTTCTACCTGTTGTATTTCACATGTCATCTTTAAAAATTAAGGACTCCCCAGGTGCTAGTGGCTCACGCCTGTGATTCTACTCAAAAGGCTGAGATCTAGGGATCACGGTACAAAGTCAGCCCAGACAGGAAAATCTGTGAGACTCTTATCTCCAATTAACTACCAGGAAACCACAAGTGGAGCTGTAACTCAAAGTGGGAGAACTCTAGCAGTGAGCAAAATAGCTCAGGGGCAGCATCCAGGCCCTAAGTTCAAGCCCAAGCACTGACCAAAATAAAAAAACAACAACACAAAAACTAAAAAAAAAAAAAACCTAAAATCTAAGGACCAGCTAATATCATGGAACACATGTGGAATGTCCTTCTTTCCCCATAGTCCTGTAAGCTGCCCACTAGCTCTGGAGAAAATACTCATCTTGGCTACTTGGGGAATGATGAGTTCCATTTGTAGTGACCATTCCAAAACCATCTTTCTTGGGGGACTAAAAATAACCTGGGCATTCATCCTCCAAGAAACCTTGCCCACCCCTGAAATGGTAAAGTTTCAGCATTGTGTCCTGAGTGACTTTTGGTCTTATTCCATCCAATTCTAGTTTCATGGAGAGGATTTAAGTATCTTCTGAAAATGGGAAGGATACTTTCTTTGCACATTGCCTACCCACTGTATGCCCTATTGGATGCTTTGCACATTTCCTTGTTGTCATAGATTGCATGTAATATGTGGCCAGTGGTTTAGAAAGGTGAAGGAAGCATGAGGGAGTGAAAATGTAAAACCCTATAATTGTGCTTGAGATGCATCTGGCAGATGGGAATTAATCAGAGATGGTTAACACTTCGCCATGAATACTGTTCTATTACAAATAAATACTATAGGCATATAGTTCTTAAAAGTGAAATTTATATTAGTGCCATTTTTCCACAGAAGGTGAAGATATTTGAAACCATATTGTATTTTATATGATTTAGTATAAAATGTGTACAAAACTAAAAGGGAGTCAAATTTTCAGGCTCTGAAAAATAAAAGTCAAACATCATCCAGGTGCTGGTTGCTGACGCCTGTAATCCTTGCTACTCAGGAGGCTGAGATCTGAGGATTGTGATTCAAAGCCAGCCTGGGCAGGAAAGTCCATGAGACTCTTATACTCTAGTTAACCACCAGAAAACCAGAAGTGGTGCTGTGGCTCAAGTGGTAAAGTGCTCGCCTTGAGCTGAAAAGCAGAGGGACAGTGCCCAGGCCCAGAGTTCAAGCCCCATGTTCGACAGGGAAAGAAAAGAAGTTATACATTGTCTAAACTTATTTTGATTTGGCTTTAAATCATGCCAGATATATTTGAATAGAGATATCATTGCTCTTTGGCAATTTACTGTTTTAGAATTAGGAAGCTGCATTTGAGTTACAAGGTTCTTTTTGTGTGTGTGTGTGTGCTAGACCTAGGGCCTGAACTCAGGGTTTGGGCACTGACTTATGAGCTTCTTTGCTCAAGGTTAGCACTCTGCCACTTGAGCCACAGCTCTACTTGTGGCTTTTGGAGGTTAATTGGAGATGAGAGTCTCAGGGATTTTCTGCCCAGACTGCCTTCAAACATTGAGCTTCAGATCTCAGCCTCCTAAATAGCTGAGATTTTAGGTGTGAGCTACTGGTGTCCAGCAAGTTTGCAAGGTTTTCCATAAATATAGTATATTATACTATTGGGGTGGCCCCCCAATATTGGGGTCCATGACCAAAGGAATGAGACTGAAACAAAGCGAAAGTCAGACAAAGCTATATTTCGCACCAAGAATCTAGAAACAGACTGACCAATTAGGGCCGCTTCGGCAGAGAGTGAACCCCGCTCAGCTGCACGGGCTAATAGTTATAGGGAACAGGCCATGCAGTTAGGCTGGCCACACACAGGTGGCCAATAGCATTGCAACACTTGCACAAAATTGCAGTTATGTTGGGCCACATGCAAGTGACCAGTGAGGTTACAACTTATCCCTAAGCAGTAGTTTAAACTAGCCTACACTTTTGTCAGTTTTGGCACACAGGTTTGGCTGGGGGGGGGGGGTTTGGAGATGTTGCATTCCTTGGTGTGGGGGGATGTTGCATATGTGCTATTACTGATTGGACGTGTCCACCTGGCCTCTAGGCTCTGTTATCAGAGACTTACTTGCAATCCACATTTTTCCTAAACTTGTAAACAACAAGAAGGATGTTTAACCAGGGTGGAGTCATGCAGGCTCACTGCATCCTAACATTAAGATGGGGTCTGAACTTTAAGTCAACTTTAAGTCTAAACAAGCAATCAAGATGCTGAGAATTGTGTATAGAGGCTTAAAAGCTGACTCCTAAGAAAACCAAGCTAGTTAATAGATACTTAGTTATACTACAAATAAGTTTTGTGCTTGTGTTTGTGGATGTGTTAATTTTAGATGTTTGCCTGGCAAAGACTGAGACTGCATGGGTTGGGTAGATGAAGGGCACATTAGAATCACAATTAACTTGTACTGTTTTCATTTTAGTGAAGATTGACAAAGATAAAAGCCTGGTGGTACTCGATGAGGAGCTTGAGGTTTGTTCAATAAGTTAAATATGATTTTTATAGTTAAGCAATTACTGTTCACAAGATGCTGTATTAATTACATATATTTTTCAAATGAGGTCTGAACTTCCTTTAAATATATACTCATGCGTGCATGGGCTAATTATTGTGTGCTTCATTGTTCTGCTAATTTAACTGCCTTCTCTAAGGCATTAATGAGAACCAGTTTAATAACTGGTACAAGTTAGGGCTATATGCGTAGTGAAAAGCAAGTCAACTTTATAACTTCTAATTGCTTAGAGAGTAATTCAAAAATAAAAAACCTACTAAATACTGGAGTATTTGACAACTAAATAACTAGAGGAGTAATAAATGAACATTTTTTTCTTTTTTGTGTGTAAGATCAGTTTTTTCCTCTGAGTTACTACTTCTCTTACTCAATTTCCTAACAATTGGAGCATAGGCATAGAAAGTTCAGTCATCCTCATATTTAGTTAATAAGTGGAAGTTATTTTTTGTTTGGTGGCCTGTGATAATGAAATTATAACTAGCCAGGCACTGATGGCCACACATGTAATCTTAGCTACTCTGGGGGCTGAGATCTGAGGATGGAGGTTCAAAGCCAGCCTGGACAGGAAAGTCTGTGAAACTCTTATTTCTAGAAAACTAAAAAAAGAGGTACTGTAGCTCAAAGTGGTAGAGTTCTAGCCTTGAGTGAAAAAACTTGGGAACAGTGCATAGGCCCTGAGTTCAAGCCCCATGACCGACAAAAAAAATCATAGCTACTAATGGAATGGGTGCCTGTGTATCACCTATAGATTTACAAATAAGGAGATGCTTAAAAGTTGTTCTTTTTTGTGGTGCCAGGGCATTTCACCAGATGAACTTAAAGATGAACTACCTGAACGGCAACCTCGATATCCTTTTCTTGGTGCTTTAGAAAGATTTGCTTCTGTAAGTGGTCAGAATTTTAACATATTTTTTTACCTTGTGATCACAAGCAAATGAAAATCTATAAGCATATATTAGACTAAGAAAAATGAAAAGTTGGGCTGGGAAGGTGGCTCAGTGGTAGAGTGCTTGCCTTGCATGCCTGAGGCCCTGGGTTTGATTCCTCAGCAACACATAAGCAAAAAGAAAAAAGCTGGAAGTGGTGCTGTGGCTCAAGTGATAGAGTGCTAGCCTTGAGCTGAAGAGCTGAGGGACAGCACCCAGGCCCAGAGTTCAGGCCCCACGACCAGACCCAAAAAAAAAAATTATTTTATTGTAATTTGTTTATAATAAGAAATGAAAAAAATCATTTAAACCAATATTCTAAATTTTCTGTTTTAGAGATTACATGATTTTATGACTTAATCTTTGGAGCTGAGTTGTAATTTTGTAGAAAAATAATAATGAAAGTATAAGGAATAAGATACAGGCTTACCACTCACTAGTTGGTAGTGATCTCAAAGCAGAAACTTTAGATTCTTTAACTTGAGAAAAACCTTCATTGTATATAGTTATAAGTATCAACATGATGATGGAAGAGTCTCCTACCCTCTGTGCTTTATTTTCTCCAGTCCTGTTGGTAAGTGAATTTCTTTAAATAATGTGTAACTGGCCCTGATCTAATTACCCATGTTTTGTTAAACAGATTTCATACTGTGTTTATGGATGAATGGTTAAATGGCTGACGGGAGAGAGAGACAGAGGGAGAGAGAGAGAGAGAGAGATGCATGGACCTGCATACACATCCCTAGCAAGCATCTACTACAAATCATCTCTTAGAATGTGTTTACCTTTAGTATAAAGTCTAAGAAGTGTAATTGTGGGTCAAATCATTCATACATTTTAATGATTCTGAAATACAGGAATACTTTATAAATATATGACATATATGATATATTTTAAACTTGTTTGTAACCATGTGAACTTTATACAATCGTGATAAACTTTATGTTTATCTTTCTAAAAGTAGTTAGGAGTGGATGGTCCCAGAGTAGCTTACAGTAGCTATTAGGATATATTATTTCTGTTTAAGGAATTGTCTTGTGAACTCCCGCTACCAGTGTTTAGACTCACAGTAAAGGCTCTACTCACTGAACTCTTCTCCAAATTTAGGCATATATCATTTCCTTAACCCTTAAGGTATACTGCAATATCTTTTTACCTTAATATGTACAAACACTGTTCACTTTTTAATGAAACAGATCTGCTTCATTACCAGTTCAAACTATCTGTTGTAAGTATCTGAAAATTTACCTTGATATTTAGTGTCAAACTAAAGATAGTACTAAGTGAAGTGTTTATAAGACTGGAAGAGTCTATATCTACAGATATCTTAAAATAATTTATTTTTGTTGATCTGTAGACTTCTTTGTAACTATGTCTCTGTGTAGGCAGTATGCAGTATAAAACTCAAAATACATTTAGGCCAAAGTTTGTTTTTTTTTTGGTCCACATTCTTTTTTTTATTGTGAAAGTACTGTACAGAGGGATTACAATTACATGGGCAAGACAATGAGTACATTTCTTATCAAGCGTTGTAGCCTCCTCCTTTGTTTCCCCTTCCCATCCCTTCCCGTCCTCCCCCCACCCAATCCTCCTCCCCACCCCAGGCCAAAGTTATTATAAACACAATGGCAAGGAAAAATTTAAATGTCTTTCTTTAGGAGAAAAATAATCAAAACTTACTATTTTTTTAAAATTACCTTATTTCTATATTAATCGCTGTCTTCTAGGTTGTAAGCCTGAACAACAGATGATGTATGCTGGGAGTAAGAATAAATTAGTCCAAACTGCTGAACTAACCAAGGTAGTGTTCATATTAGCATCTTTGTTGATATTATAATTCCCTGAGACTTTAAAGTGGATAGTTTAGTGGGTTTTTTTTCTTGTTTTTTGTTTTTTAATATAGGGGAAGGTTATTTGCACCATAGCAATAAATTAAATATTTGTGGCCAGGTATGATAACTCATGTCTGAAATTCCATGTGAGGCAGAAGTTGGATCACAGTTGAGACTAGCCTAGACAAAAAAAGTTAGCAGGACTCTAAATACAAGCCAGGAATGGTGTTCTGAAAGCCCAGCTATGCTGTAGACAAAGAATAGCAGTCCAAGGCTCACCCAGGTAAAAACACAAGACTATCTCTGAATGATACATGAAGCAAAAAAGTGTTGGAAGTATAGTTCAAGTGGGAGAGCAGTGACCTGGTAAGCAGAAGACTTTTAAGTTTAAAACCTATCCTGTAAAAATAAAAATAAAAAAGCTGGTCGCTGGTGGCTTATACCTGTAATCCTCACTTCTTGTGAGGCTGAGATCTGAGGATCCTAATTTTTGAAGCCAGCCCAGGCAGAAAAGTCCCCGTGAGACTTTTATCTCCAATTACACATTGAAAAACTGCAAGTGGCGCTGTGGCTCTGATGGTAGAGTGCTAGCCTTGAACACATAGAGGCTCAGGAACGGCGCCCAAGCCCTGAGTCCAGATCCCACAACCAACGATAGATAAACAAATAAATAAAAGTCTTAGAACCAAAATATGTTTTTCTGAATAAGTTGATTAGAAAAAATCACAATTTAAAAAGTAAGCAGCTTCAGAAAAGCTATTATAACCTTACATCTGTTGAGAGTTCTTTGTCTTCTGTGATGTAATTTCTAATAGATAAAGTTAACCTGAGGTTTCTTTGAGTCTAAAATGAACCAGGTTGTGCTGAAATTTTGTATTATGCAGCTAACTGTATTATTATTAAATCTAAAATTGCTAAAAGTATTGATTGCTGGGTTCTATGGATCATGCCTGTAATCCCAGCTACTTGGGAAGTAAACATTGGAAGATGGCAGTTTGAGGCCAGCCCCAGCAAACAAGTGGGTGTTGTGGTTCATGACTGTAATCCCAGCTTCATGAGAATTCATAGGTAGACAAACTGATCTAAGACTAAACCTGGGCCAAAAAAAATGTGAGAAACTAAACAAAGTTAGGGGTATGGCTTGGTGGTGGAGAGAGCCTTCCTAGCAAGTAGAAGGCCTGGGTTTGAACCCTTGTGCTGTAAAACAGAAACGGAAACCAAAAAGGACTATTAATAAACAGTCCTCTATGAGATACTCACTTTAAGATGTAATATATTTCCATTATTTTGTTGTGTTTCTGAAGGTTAAAGGTAAGAGATATTTGCTCTCAAATTTATCTTCCACATACTAGTTTGAATTAGAAAATTTGGTATAGTTATATTTTGAGGTTCATATTTTAAGGACCACATTAAAGGTGTTTTTCCTAATCATCAACTCTGGGAATGTCTTCAAATCCATCTTCTTCTTCTCTTCAGTCTATATGATTATCACTGAAACCATCTCCTTTGTCCTAATTTGTATCCTAGGAATGTTTTGGAGTGTTTTAAACCACTGAGTGGTTAACAACAACAGTACTTTGCTGACATGTCAAACCCGGACTTAGTACTCTTTTTTATACTTTTGTAAATAATCTCACTGAATCCTTATGATAGCTCTGTGAGTATGACTGAGCTATTCCTATTCTGTTTGGACTAAGACTAAGCTAGGAATCAAGCCCCTAATTCTGTCCTACTGTTAACATCTTGTCTTCTTATGGCCATTATACTATAGCCTTTTTTTCAATCTCTTAATGTTGGTATTTCCATGTGCTGCTCAAATTATCGATACCTGGCGGTAATATCCTAACTAGATTGTTTTAGATGTGGTTTTTTGGTTGTATCTTCTAATGTGTAAGAACTAATTTTTTTTGGGGGGGGTCCAGTCGTGGGGCCTGAACTCTGGGCCTGGGTGCTATCCCTCAGCTCTTCAGCTCAAGGCTAGTGCTCTACCACTTGAGCCACAGCACCACTTCTGGCTTTTTTCTGCTTATGTGGTGCTGAGGAATTGAACCCAGGTCCTCATGCATGAAAGGCAAGCACTCTACCGCTGAGTCAACTTCCCAGCCCCATTTTGTGCTGCTTTTGTTTTGTTTTTTTTGTTTTGTTTTTTGTCAGTCGTGGGACTTGAAGTCTGGGCTTGGGCGCTGTCCCTGCACTCTTCAGCTCAAGGTGAGCACTCTACCTCTTGAGCCACAGTGCCACTTCCAGTTTTCTAGAGGTTTATTGGAGATGAGTCTCAGGGAGTTTCCTGCCCAGGCTGGCTTTGATCCCCAAATCTCAGCTTCCTGTGTAGCTAGGATTACAGGCATGAGCCACAGGTGCCCGGCCATAATGTGGTTTTTAAAGTGTCAGAGTCTGATGTAAATTTTTGTTGTTGATTTTTTTCTTTTAATTAAGGTATTTGAAATAAGAAACACTGAAGACCTAACTGAAGAATGGTTACGTGAGAAACTTGGATTTTTCCACTAATGTGAACTTCCGTGTTTATATTCTAAACTATTTGTGTGTTAACCTGACCATACTGGAACCAGACATAAATACTTATTTATGCCTAAAAATACACTGTTACTTACAGTTTGTTTCCTGCGGTAAAGAAAAATTCTTCATTTGTGCAAAGTTTGAACAAAGAGGAAATCATCTTCATAGTAATAAAACTTTGTAAAGTGTTTCCTTATATTTGTAACTATTAGGTGGACAACTTTTCTCCAGGGACTTTTTGCACTCTTGTGACTAATTTCTATAACTTACGGTTCAGAATTCGTTACTATTTACAGACACTATAGGAAAGTTGGGTTTTAGATTGTGAGAGATAATAGTCGCCTCCTTTTGACAAATATTGGATATTAGTAGTTTATAAGTGAAAATAGTTTATTATCATTTAATCATTGACATTCATTTGGGGCTGAAGATGTGAATCACCTAATGTTGAGCCATGAATTGTAATTTACAAGTGTAACCTACATTACAAGTATAGTTTTCAACTTCCCTACCTCTTTTGGTTTATTTTTATCTTTTTCATCATTTCTAGAAACTTGTCTTCAATCATTCCTTAAGGTCTGAAAATTAGGTTTTTATGATGAGAGTTAGGACTTTTGGGTGTTCTTATATAGAAAATAACATCTTAGTCTTAGAAACTGGAAAGTTGTAATGATCAAGGGCTTCATTCCTTTTTTGTTTTGCTGGTCCTGAGGCTTTAACTCTGGGCCTGGGTGCTGTCCCTGAGCACCTTTTGCTCAAGGCTAGCACTCTGTCAATTGAGCCACAGTGCCACTTCCAGCATTTTCTGTGATTTGGTTGGAGATAACTGTCCTACCCAGGCTGGCTTCAAGCTGCAATCCTCAGATCTCAGCCTCCTGAGTAGCTATGATTACAGGCTTGAGCCACTGGCACCTAGCTATAGTCATTCTTGATTATGTCATTTCCAGACTTTTGAATCTAGGTTAATAATGGTTTATAAAGCTCCTCCTAACATCTAATGAACACTAATTATTTTAAATATGTTAATACTGTGCCTTTGATTTGTTAGCTTTAAAGTTAGTTAAGACTTTTACACTGCCAGTATTCTAGATTTGGCGAAACTAATACTTTTTTAAAGGGCCCAAGTAAAACAGTTTTCTAATATGTGTATTTGAAGTTTGTAATAAAATCAACTTCTTATTTTTAAAATTCCGACTATCTACTTGTGTTGGTGATATATGGCAGGTGAGAATGGTAACTTCAGGTTTATTTGTGCTTAGTATTGTGCCATATCTAAGAATTACCTTAAAATTTGGGCCATATTTAATAACAACACATCAATAGAAGTCACATCTTCTATCCTAAACATCAGAAGATACTACAGACACCTGGATGGTTGGTTAAATCAGCCATGTTAGGACATGGCACACGACAGAAGACAAAAATCCTAATGTTTGCTATACTTTGCAAACAAATGTATAAATAGCTGAATGATAATTTGCTAAGTAGAGACTAGAGGCTAACCAAAATTGGTGGGTGAATTCTTATAGTAAGGATTTTGTAGTCATTTCAAAACTTAAAAAAGCCATTCTTTTTATGTTGGCATATTTTCTATTCATATGTTTTTTGTATTTTTGTTTTGAAGGCTTTGTGCCAACTTTAATAAGCAGGTAATGATAGTTGGAATTCTCAAAATATTGAAAGGAGCATCTTCGGCTCCCAACAGTGGCTTTGCTAATCTAGATGTCAGAACACAATGGCAAGTTGGGAGATGAGAAAATAGTAGAGTATGTATTTGTTTGGGTTAAGAATGGAAATTTTCATTTATTCCAATTTCCAGAGAGAGAAAGAAATCTTCACTAGGAAGGTTTAGAATTCTGTAAACAGGTATTTTGATACTGGAGAATAACTTGCTTATAATTCTGTAGAAATGTAAATGTTTTGAATGAAGGAAATAAGGTTTTGTTTCACATACTTTGCATCAAGAAGAGAAACCAGTGCTGCAAGAATGTATATTTTTAATGAGGTTCCTGTTTTTTCTTATATATGTTGTTTACTTTTTTTTAAGTTCCAAAAGTTCTCCATTAGGTCAAATAATATGACCTGCCTTTCTCAGAACTCTTTGTTTCCTGATCCTCTAATCAGGAGCTTTTATTTAAAGGCTGAGATAAGCTGGGTATGTTTTTGTTTTTTAGCTTATCAGTAATGTTTGTTTTGCAAGGAAACAGATTGATTTATGGGATCCTAGACTTATTTTTTTTCTTCTGTCCTATTGAGGGAGATTTCCAAATCTTATATTCAGAATTTCATAATTTTGTGTTGTTCTTTTAAAGAAAATCATACCCTATCTAGTCTCTTTTTTTTCTGCCTTTCCACAAATAATAACTACAGATTTCACAATCCCAAATTTTACATTCCATACCCTTTCTGATAATAAGCATTCCCATTCAACCTTTAATTTTAATCCTTACTTTTAGGCAGCAACTTTTTCCTGGGAACCTCCTTTGTGGTCTCCTAAGCTGGCATTAGTTTTGAAATTGTGGACATGTATAAGTTCTGAATAGCATCTAGTATCAAAATTGAATCAACTAGTAATGGCAGTATGTATTTAGGATATATGGTTTTGTGGCAACTTAAATGACATGAAGAGAACTGTTCTCAGGTTAACAGGCTGAAATTCCAAAATGTCTGAATTTTGAAACATCATTTTGTTTTGGTTTTGAAGCATAGGAAAAAAGTTAACTGATTATTTTTGTTTGATTTCTGAAGTAAATGTTGTCTTCTAAAAAGTTTACTCAATGACTAGTGCAGTTAAACATATTCTTGTTTAAGAGTGTGTTGCTAAATTTTTTAAAAATTGTCATAAGTAAATGATCTATGTGGTAAACAGTTGTTAGCACCTTCCCTCCCTTTCTATCTCCTATTTTCAGGAGTCAAATGTAGCCATAAACTGTCCTGATCTGACACTTTACATTTCCACCTAAGGTAGTTTATTGCCAAATTAAATTTGGCTCTTTTCCTTCTACTCATGTAGATTAAAGAAAGTGTAACTAAAGGTTTGGACTACTTTTAGAACTTGAACAATGTTGTTAATCCACATGTGGACCTAGTGATGAATGGATATTTTCATATGAGTTTAAATGCTGATAGGCTACTTGGCGGAAGCAGAGACTAACTGGTATTCTACTCATAAATTATTCTTTGTATGGTTGTTTGTCCCATAGACTGATAATGTCCCATAGACTGATATGTTTGTCCCATAGACTGATAATACTGGAATCTACAAAGTTTGAGCCTTTACAACATACATGAAAAGGTGTATCAAACATTTCTCAGCAAATCTTATTTTGTATTTCTGGAAGAATATAAATAATCTTCTAGGCCACTTGAAACCAATGGTCCCAAATTGAATATTCTTGAGAAACTTGTTTTCTTTTAGGCTGTGTGACATTTCAAATCAGTAATCATTCATGTAATGTTTAAAACAACTTCGTTAAACTTGTAATGGAAACTGTATTTTCTTGCTTTTTGGAATATAATTCATAAACATGTAATTACTTGAATATTATTTAAGATCACTGACATGCCAGGGCAATCCCCACTGATGTAGATGGTCCAATATAATCTCATTCAGGAGGCTTGAAACATTATTGGTTGAGTCTTGTGAATTTTAACAGTTCTATGTCATTCTTTAACAAAACCATCAACTGGCACAACTTCTTAAGCCAGAGTTTCAGTCTCTGCTAGTTCATAATTGCATGTTTATTTCGGACAGTCTTTTTGTTAAGCATGGTGCTTGTACTGGTTTAAATAAAATATTAACGTGAAAAGACTTGGAGCTTTGCATTTTTTGCTTGCCTCTTCCCTACTTTGGGTTTACTGATAGCTGTCTGGCCCAGTTTGTATCAGCCATACACCATTTAGCTGTTTTCCTTACTTGTAAAATCTAAGAGGCAAAAGAAACAATCACTGGGCATCTTGATGAAACAGAAATATGAAATCACAACCTGATGTTAAGATAACTGATTTGTAGAAAATGTCATGAATAGTACAGGCAGTGAGAGTAAGTCCAACAATGAACCTCACTTTGAAAGGGAAAATTCAATTTAGATGGTCTGTGCACTTCATAAGAAACTGGAGGGAAGTTGCTGTTATTAGAAATAGCTCATCACATAGCCCATCCTGCCTTGTTTATTGTTGGAGCTATCATACGTGTCTATGAGAATGAATATAAAGGGTTTACCATATACTTTTTTATGATTAATTATGTAGTAATGCTCACAGTTTGTTTGAGTTCTTAAAGGAGTATTTGGTAGTTAATGTATATTACTCAAACATTTCTGTGGAGAATTGGCCAAAGCCTGGACACATTTGTAACTTTCTTCCTTCTCATATTTGGCTCATCAAAACAGCAGCTCCTTTGTTTTTTCACCTTCAATAAAAATATTTTCATTAACTTTTTGTCCCTTTCACTCTTTAGCGGCATTGTAAGCACTTGCTCTCTCAGCATGGAGCCACTTTCATTCAATTAAGGATATTCACCGTGTGGATATCCTGTCCATGTTCAGTACATGTTTGCCTATTTCAGGACCTTACTGTAGAGCATCATGGAGGTTCCACACAGATTTCTCCTCCACTTGATCTGCCCCTAGATTGCATGGAAGCTTGCTAAGGTTGCCTTTCAATTATATAGGAAAGAAGAACAGCCCAGCTTACATCCAGAGCCACCTGTCCAAACAAAGTACGGTGTGTGTGAGAGAGAAAGAAACTCCTAAAGTTACAGTTATCTTCCTCTGGAATACAGAACTCCATATTTTGGCTTACTTCTTAAGTGCTGGATAGCTTAGTCCATTTTATGCTCCTGTAACAAAATATCTGAGACCAAGTTAATGAATGAAGGACAGAAACTTATTTTTTGACAATTCTGGATTCTGGGAAGTCCTAAGATGAAAGTGCCGTCTTCTGGTGAGGGTTTTTTTTGTGTGTGTGCAGAAAGGGCTAGAGGCAAGCCCACTTAACCTTTCTAATTAGCCACTAGTTCATTCATGAGGCTCTGCCCATAAGACCCCACTTCACAACACTTTAAGTCTATATTATCTAACGTCAATTAATGCATTAGGCTAATAATTTTCTTGAATGAGGTAGTTAGCAGTGTGAGCTGAACTGGAAAGAATGCACAGTACAAAAGAGGCCATGTGCAGCCTACAAATCAGAGGACAACAATGTCAGCTGAAGCCGGCATGCAAAGTAGCTGAAGGTGTTAAATATGGAGCCCTCAAATCAAGGAGTCACACTCCTGCCTTTTACATCCAGAAGGCTACCTCTGATCCAGGATCACTTGTCAGGACCCCTTGTTTCTGAGGCCTAATAGAGTCAGCCTTTTCTGAAAACCTCTCCATATCTATCCCTCCAAGAAACCCTGCATTGCTTAGGTTAACCTGGGCAGATCTTTTTACACTCCTTGAAAAATGTCTAAAAACAATACCAGCTACAGAGTCAACTGCCACTCTTCCCTGGTTTTACATTAACTCCTGGCAAACAGGTCCAGGGCTCATCTCCCAACAACAGAAACTCCTTCCCCATACTTGTACTAGCCTTCAAAGCAAATGACCTTCAGAAGTCATCTCAAATACTCTTCAAAAAATTAAGTCTTGTTTATTAAGCTTATATAGTTTTTTTGTTTGTTCTATTATTCATGGGACTTGAACTTGGTCAAGGAGCTGTCCCTGAGCTTTTATGCTCAAGGCTAATGCTCTACCTCTTTGAGCCACACT